CATTCTCGGCTATGCTCGTTCCAAGTTTGAGGATGTGGACAAGTGGAAAAGGACAACGCTTGCGAGCTGCTTCTCACGGTTGGATGAACTTGGCTGCTACGTGGATGCCTTTTTGGAGCGAATCAGTTACATGTCTGGGTCCTACGACCGTGCCGAGGACTTTGCACGCCTGAATGAGAAGGTATGCCAGATGGAGCACTCCTTCAAAGGGCCGGAGCAGGGCGGAAACCGTCTCTTCTACCTGGCCCTGCCACCCGCCGCCTTTCTGGACGCGTGCAGAGGCATCCGCAAGGGGGCGATGCAGCAGCCCGGCCTGGGCTGGGTGCGTCTCATCGTTGAGAAGCCCTTTGGAAAGGACACGGAGACCTCCCAGCAGCTCTCGAGGCAGCTTGAGCCGCTTTTCGACGAGAGCCAGTTGTTCCGCATTGACCACTACCTGGGGAAGGAGATGGTGCAAAATATCATCGTCACGCGCTTTGCCAACCGCGTTTTCAGCGCGCTGTGGAACAGCAACAATATTGCGTGCGTCCGAATTACATTTAAGGAGACTATTGGCACGGCGGGTCGCGGGGGGTACTTTGACAGCATTGGAATCATTCGCGACGTGGTCCAAAACCACCTCACACAGATTCTTTCTTTGTTGGCCATGGAAAAGCCGCGCTCCCTAAGCGCCGAAGACATTCGTGATGAAAAGGTACTTGTTCTCCGACAGGTGGAACCCGTGACTGTCGAGAACTGCGTGTTGGGTCAGTACACGGCGTCTGCGGATGGCGCCATGCCGGGCTACCTTGACGACCCCGCCGTGCCGAGGGACAGCCGCTGTCCAACGTTTGCCGTGATGCGGCTGTACATAAACAATGACAGGTGGAACGGTGTCCCTTTTATTATAAAGGCTGGAAAGGCGCTTGAGGAGCGGCTGCTTGGGATTCGTGTCCAGTTCAAAGACGAAATACGTCCTTTTGGCGAGCGCACACAGCGTAATGAACTCGTTTTACGTGCGCAGCCCTCGGAGGCAATCTATTTGAAGCTCACCGCAAAGACGCCGGGGTTGCTGCGCGATACGCATCAGACGGAACTTGACCTTACCTACGAGCGTCGCTACGACATAACGCTCCCTGATGCATATGAGAGCCTTCTTCACGAAGCCCTTCTTGGGAGTTCCACCAACTTTGTTCGTAAGGACGAACTGGACGCCGCGTGGAGAATCTATACACCACTGCTTCACGCTATTGACCGCGGCGAGTTGAAGGTTCTGCCCTACGTGGCGGGCACCCGTGGGCCAGACGAGGCTCAGGAGTTCATTACCAATTCCGGATATAAGTTGGCAACGAGCCAGCAATGTAATTGCTCCGCGCCGAAGAAGAGTTCTTTGTGAACATAAAGAGGCATGGGATAAATCAAAAAGACGAAGAAAATTGAAGAAAGGATGGTACGTAGACACTTGCAAACCAAATAAAGTGAAATTAAGGCAGTTGTCTGCAGGTGGGGAGCATGGACCTCTTGTTTTTCATTTCATTTAAAGCCATATATGCCTTTTGGCGCCTTCCTCCACCTGTGCTTGGACTAGCCTTGGCGGTGTTGGAACATGGCTCTGCGTCTACAACTCTTTTGACTGCGGGGAGGGCTGTGTGCGTGCACACGCGCCGCGATCGTGTACAGTCGATTCAATTCTCACTTTCTTTTTTTTTTCGCTTGAAGGGCAGATAAATCACTGTTTCTGCATTTCATTAATTATGTCTACAGGAGCCGCAAATCGTTATTGGTGTTGATTTATATTTCTTTGCGCGATTGTTTCCTTGTTGTTGTTGTTGTTTTGTTTTTGTTTTTGTTTTGTTTTTTTTTGTTTTTTCTCCTGTAGTTATAGCCTCCTCCTGAGGGCGGCAGACAAGTGCCGTGGGTGGGTGGATGGGGAGTGCGAATATGGGCTCCCCGTCTGTGGCTTTGGCTCTTTTGGTTGGTTTACTTATCGCGATGCATGCCTGTGTGCGTGGCAATTTCCACTTGGTTTCTTTACCTCGCTGCGTTTTTTTTTGGTTACACTTCGGTGAGTGTGCTGTGCTTGGGTGTGTTGGGCTCATGCAGAGTAGAGGGAACCAAAGACCAAAACCAGGCGCTGGAGAACGGCAATGAGGCGGCATGTGCCAACCAGCAGAGCCACGGCGGCAACGTTGTCTTGAGGCCTTCGTCGAGCCACGACGACGCTGCGACGGAGATGGAGGCGATGGCAGTAGAGGACCCGCAAGGTGCGCCCCCGGCAACTGGGGGTCATTTGTCGGGGCCCAGAGAGGTGGCGGCTTCGAGGTGCTTCTTGGCGGTGTACTTGGGGCGACTGCGTGGGGCGGCGAAACNGGGCTCCCGGCCTTGCCTTGTCGCTCGACTTCCTTCCTACCTTCGTTTTCTCCACCGGCATCATGCTCCTGCTGGCGGTTGTCGATGAGTACGGCCTGGGGCAGTATGGCCTGCAGCTGTACTTGCCGTCGTTCTGGGCGTCGT